CCATTTTGCCAAACGCTTTTCTCCCTCTTGTTGAAGTACACCAAGAGCACTATCATGACCCATGGTAGCATTTTTGGGACCTTAAATGATTTAGGGAGTATAGTCGGGAGAGACTTAGGAGATATAGGAGCCCTATTATCGGGAGAAGAGCGTTTAGAAGATCCCAAAAATGCCACCATGGGTCATGATAGTGCTCTTGGTGTACTTCAACAAGAGGGAGAAAAGCGTTTGGCAAAATGGCACATTTTGCTGAAAGTGACAACTTTGTAGCAATCTATATAGAAAAAGAAAACACGGGAGATTGATTTCAGAAACAGTTCATCACATAGTCTATCTGAAAATATGATTCTGGATCTCATGTTTTGTTTCGTTACAACAGGATTGATCGCCAAAGTTGACCGAATCGCGGTGCGTCATCTACTGCAAATGAGGGAAAGCATGTGCGGAGCTTGCGGTTGCTTGAATTTGCAGTAGACACTAACTAGTATTTATGATAAAACTGATAGTCTAAGTCATATGTCATTACGAAGTTACATGTAGTTTAAGTTGACAATTTTTCAAGACGGCGAAATATTGGTTTTTTGGGACTTTTCGTAAAAATTGTATATCTCAGCAACGCAACAACCTTAGGACCTCTGATTTTCGCCAAAATTCATGAAAATGTTGTTCTAAAGAAGACCCTTACTTTGGAAGAAATCTGAGATGGTCGATTGACCAGCATTATACGGTAACAGATCATGACTTATCTTTAATGGCTCTTATATAGTTGTTGTCTTACAGCTATATAAATAAGGCTAAAGAAAGAAAAAATGTCGGAAACGGTATTCGAAAATGTTCATTATTTAGAATCCAAAGGAAGACGCTAAGCAACAATAAGACTCCAAGGGTCTTGGTCTTCTTCTAATCAGTTGCTCTCAAATTCATAGTCAACGGAAGCATACATGAAACAAAAAACGAGCTATTAGACCGAAATTCAGTCATCGATACGCTGATGACGTCTCAATTAAATAGGATCACTACATTTTTTCCGATATATTGCCTACATATCTTCATGCTGATCGCTTTTTCATAGCATCCATTCTCTTGCTTACAGTTTTTCATTCAGTTTTAAATAGTAGCTCTCAGTAGAAACGATCAACACGAACTAACCAAGGTTCGGCCTCTTTGCAGCTGCTATTGATTGCTAAAGATAAACAAGAACATCAACAGTTTTCAGCATAAATAACTATAGAACCTAAATGGACAAGCAGACGCCGCCTTTGTTTTTCATTGGTGGCCAAAATATCCAATAGATTCTCTGAAGTATACCTTTTTTACGAATGATTTTAGTCTTCGTGATAGTAAAAGAGAAACATGAAGTACTTGAATTATTCGAGACAGTTGCATGCTGATTGAATTGCAATGCTGAATCTTTCTGATATTTTGAATCTGTTAATTGTTTTTCATTTTAGTATTGACTTATTATATAATGTCATCTTTATTGTCGGCTACTGAGCCGCATCATAATCATTATCATTATTCGCAGAGTCTAACGCCAGCAACAAAAACAAAATATTTAAGTAAAAGTTCCGAGTCATTATCAAATGAACAAGCAAAAGAGATAGGTGGTGGTGAAATTTCAATATTTTCCACAAATAAAGCATTACATCCAAAATCGATGAAAAAATCTCAGACAGCATTAACAGGTTTCGATCAGCCAAAAGCGAATACCACCGTAAAACATCCTTCCACATCGAATCCTCAAAATACTGGTGGTTTAAGACGTCGTTTCAGTTTATTTCGCACAAAACGGTATCAACAACAGCAACAAGCAAAACCATCTTCCGAGCATGAGTTATTATTGACAACAGCAGCACCTATTGAGCTAAACTTAAATGACAATATTCGTTTATTACAAGATGAAGTTAAACAACGTAATACTATCATTGAAAATTTACGTCAAGAATTAAATGTAAAAACACAAGAATTAGAATTGACGAAACAGCGTTTATTTGAATTAAATAATTCATATGATATTGAACAAGCACTACAAATACAAACAAAAATGAATACACGTTTAGAAGAAATGTTAACCGAAAATGAAACATTGAAAAAGAGTATACATGATTTAGAATGTCTTGCTCAACAGCAACAATCAGATACGAGCAATAATGGTGAGTACTGTTGCCACCGCTTCTGCATTTGAATCTCAAAAAGTTCTAACTAGGGACATCTACTACAGCATTTACTCGCCATGTATTTTTTGTTCAAACGAGTGACTTTGTCTGTTTTTTCAAAATTATTCAGCAATATCAAGATGTTTTCTGCAAAGTTACGAGAGTGAATGTTGGTGTTCGCGTCTTAAAGAGCCGTCCATTCGTTTTGTACTCTCAAATTGGAGAAGCTGACCAGATACTCTGCTTCGTTTTTTTTGTGCAGCAGTTTACTTTTCGGACATACTGCTAGATGATGTACACCTGAATAGTACAAAAATTTTATTGTTCAGTATAAAGAATTCAAAAAAACGTATCGAAAAAATGTATGACAAAATTTTTCAGATTCACCTTTTGGGTTCTAATGTAGAGAAAAATCTATGATATAGGCATTTAAAGAAACAGTGTCATGTTGGTAAAGTGATATAAGACAAACACGTAATCAAAGGAGCGAACGGCAAAAAATTTCTGGTTCGTACTGACCTCTGGCCGATGTTTATAGGATTGAGACTGGACTGGGACTGAAGATTTAGCTTTTGAGCGGACTAGGACTGGGCTGAGACTGAGCTGAGCTTCTGGTGGATTGAGACTTGACTGGTACTGAAAAACAGAGGACTTGTCTCTCTCTGATCGTGACGGAGTACATTTGTGCTCACTTTCTGGCTTCATTCGCTGTTTTTGCTGTTTTCGTTCAATGAGCACCGCGATTGCTAAAAATTCGCTATTGTCGCGCTCTGATTGTGACCAGCTCTTTTTTTTCAAATTTGGAATTCGCGATCGCGAAGTCTCCCCATGGCTCGCTATAGCGCCGCGCGTCAAGGTAATCTTTTTAGTAAAGTTTTAAAATCGCGCCGCGATCATGCTTTTCTTTTATAGCAGCGATATTAAACAAAGTTGCGGCTGGACTCTCGTAGCAATTCCATTCAGCGTTTTGTTGTGCTTAGACTCAAAGTATATAACTCCTATTGATCTTCAGAAAATTTTCAAAGTTTTGTCGCAGCTCAGCAATTATTTATCGTATAGTCAACTCAGCAAATGCTAGCCTTGACCTTGACTTAATTGGATATTAATTATGAGAAAAACAAAGGGATAAGAGTAACGGTGAGAAAACGTGACCGCGTTATAACTCTTGCGTAGTCGCGTCACGAGTTTGCGTTCCAATAAGAATATCGCGGATCGCTTATTATAAGTGCGCGGAAATCGCGAAAAAGCAGCGATCACAATGAAATATTCGAAAGTTGCGAGCGTTTTTCGTATGAGCGCGACTTATTCGGTGATCGCGGAAAATCGCGTCTTTTCTCGCGAGTTTTACAACAAACGCATTACCCTATCCTGCCACGAATCGTTTTAGCGACTCGTGTCGCGATGAATGATAAGAAAGTTGACCTGGATAAATTTGCGTCACAGATGCACCATGACGAAAAAACGTTGCCACACTTTCCTCAATTTTCTCCAAATGCCGACAATACCTAAGGCTCATTTGATGATCAGAAATCTCACAAAACTCTTAAATGCTGGAAATTTCAGTTGACAATACATAATAATCAAGATATTGAAAAATACGCTCGTAAGACAGTGTCTATGAAATGCTCTGATTCTGAATGTAAGTAAAAAAATTCTATACAATATATAAATATATAAGTCACTATATAGCTTTCTTTTTTTACTCGCTTTGTACCGACCAACGCTCTGATGATTGTACCTATTTGAAAGTATGATTCATTCTTTGTTCGAGTTGAACTTTGCATTTTTAGAATTTTATCGGACAAAAAATCAAAACTGTGTCTATAATAGGTCCACCTGTTCGAGATTAACAACCGAAAAGGACAAACCATTGACTGTGTAGCATCATCTTTTTTATCAGTACGGTCAATGGTTTGTCTTTTTCGTTTTGCTAAACTTGATTTATACAATAGTAGTAAGCATCGGTTAGATAAATAAAATTGAAAAAGACGGAAGAATATTCATTAAGCAGAAAAAAAATATATTCCCATTACACGTATCGGGTTTGAACGATGTATGGACTATGTCATTCATACGTATGTAGTGTGTGTCCGATTTTTAAGTTAAACTTTTGATTTTGTAAAAAAGAAAAAAGCGGAAAAAGTAAATGTTCAATCAAATATGACAATTTTCTACTTTTAATGAGTATATATATACATATATATTTGCCTTGTTTGTCATTTGAAAAGAAAAAAGAAACAATTCTGAACAATGTATCTCCCATCGATGTTTACTTTATTATGAAATACACACATATGTTACCTTTGGTTTTCTACAAAATCTGACTTTGAATGTAACCTGAAAGACCTTCTATTTCGATGCTTTCGAGCATAGATTGGATTGCATGGTAAAAAACGTCTCGTGTATACTCAACGAGAAAGTACAAAATTTCTGACGTTTTGCTCCGACTTGGGAATCTGTTTTTTTATCAAAAATAAAAAGAGAGACGTGTCTTGCCGAAATGATATTCAGTTAATGGTGTAAATGATATAATTAAAAACTTGAAAACATGTTTTTTGTTAGTATAATCTTATCGATATTCATTCATATAGATAGTCAGTTTTAAAATGTGACCTCATCACTATTACACAATCTTATTCATAATCTGTGCACGCACATTTTTTGTTTTCGTTTAGTTCTCCGTTTGTTTATACATCTCTCTCTCTCTCTGTCGCTCATATGTAAAAAGTCGAATGAGAACGAGACATGACTAGTCATGCGATTATTATTTTGAGGATGCTATCTGATTAGTCAAATAGCAGTGATTAAATTTTAATAGATTTTTGGTTTTCTTCTTTTTCGTACTTGTATGTGTTAAACAGGTCTGAATTCTACTTCTACTGCTGCTGTGTTCCTGTGCAAGATTAGTATTACGTACAAGTAAATGTGTACAGGTCCCTATATATATATATATTTGCTCCTTTTCGCTCTCTCGCATTTTTTTTTCGTTCTCTCTCGTTTTCTCTTCCTCTTGCTTTTGTTAGATGCCAATTTTTTTTTTGACAGTATGGTTATCTCTCGTCCACACAATCGCATATAACAACAAAAATTCTAAAATTTACAGGTTTTCGTTAATATTCCTTTATTTCTCTCCCTTCATTTTTCAATTTTAAACACAATATTTTAACGATCATTGAAACAAAATGCGCCTGTTTCGCCGTCTTCGAAAGAATAAAGGTAAGAAGACAGATCATTTAATTTTCTTGTATATGAATAGTTTTTAGACATTTTGTAGCTGATAGAACATTGTTCATCTCTGACACATGGTGTGTATACACGAACACACCTTGAGTCTTTATATTCATCTGTGAGATCGAAAAGAAGAGAAGTGAGAACGCTTCAAGAATAAAAATTGAAAAGAATCTCTAGTTAAAAGAGTAAAAAACGTTACTGAGACAGTTAATTAGTGACGCGGATCGGTAAGGTGGGTTCCAATTTCCTCTAGTTCGATTTTTATATAATGCAAAAATACGGCTGTGTCGAAATCAGTAAAAACTAAATAATTTTTTAATTATAAGTTTTATTTGTTCTTAGAAGTGAGCTTTCGACAATGTTTCAACGCTTTTTTGCTAGTTTAACACTTGAAAGAATCCCTGTAATATGTTCAATGAATATTAACTAAATAATGAAATATTCTTTGTTAAGCGTTTATTTCGCATGTTTAACAATTTTCTTCTTTCTTTTTTTTTGTCACACAAACTTCTATTGTAAAAAAATCTGCTCGTAATTATAATATTATTTGAATGTTAAAATCCTTGATAGTGATTTGATAAATTGTCCTTCCGAGGGGCAAGGTTGACTGAATGATCGTGAATGTGAATTCAGTGATTTTCTTCTCTTTCTCTTGTGCTGTTAAATAATTGACATAAACAGAGAAGAAGAAAAAAAATTTTTGTTTGACAAAGAATCGCAACATTTGTTTTAGCACTGCATAACAAAAAATTTTAATCTAACATTATTTAGAATCAAAGTAGACCACTAAAATATTCTTGACTTTCATTTTGTTTTTTATACATGTCAATACAATAAACGTATAATGTTCAAAACAATAAATTTTTTGTATTTATTTCATTAGAAAATGTTATTTTTTAAAACAAATAGTTTTGTACTCTTAGAAATGTTAATAAGCTTTTTGTGTCGACATTTAACATAACGTGATGAATATCGTTAATGTGTGTGCATATGTAACAAAAACAAATTTTTTTTTTGTATGTTCGACCATCTCATATTGAAGATGTTTTTTATCATGTTTAAAACATATCTAACGGCAGAATGAGACAATTTACATTGAGTTTGATAAACGGCCATTGTAGAGTGAGAGAGGAATGAGGTTGATGATAACATTTTTTATCCTATATTTCTCTCACGTATTTAATTTTCAATATATGTATGTAGTTCTAATCATTGTCAAAAGTTCGATATTTATTTCCTTTACAAGAGAGAAGAAGAAGGAGAAGAAGAAGAAAAAAAGAGAAAAATATGTTATTAAACTTTGAGTTATTCATACGTATATATTCATGAGAAAACACACGAAAATGAGTAAACAAAATTCTTTGAAATACTATGAAACGAATTAAGCACATTCTCACTCTTACGATCTTCTGTTTATGGTTTTACATAGAATCTAGGATTGAAAAGTTAAATGTCCTAATCTAGAAGCACATGAACTCATCTTTTTAACATTCATTTTCATATTGTTTTCAGAATTTGTCGAATCTGAGATCGAAAATATCTATCATGTTTTCAGATGACATCTCACTCCTCACATTTAGCATCTTTTTGTCTATTAATGTGTCTTTTGATCCATTTTAATAAGTTTCTTTACATATAGAAGAGAAAACTATGCTCTCTTTTTTTTTCTGGCGCCATTTTAATGCATTGTCATCGAACGATGTAAATACTATACCTTGTTTTTTGTTGGTAAGAACATAACTGTGACTATTTTAAGCTTTAGTAAAAATTTGGCAGAAGGTACGAGACTGAACATTTTTAAGAGTTCTAATTTAGTTTTATTTGAATGGCATAATTCTTTAAAAGCAAGGTATAGAAGATAAATTAACTGTAGTTTACATTTTGTGCATGGCCTTCCATTCAAGGCAATCGATGATTTGTCAATAACTGGCGGAACAAAAATAATTTATTTTCTTATTGCTATTTTTATCAACATGGCAGTAATGTTTTTTTACTGTCTTGTTTACGCTCTTTCTCCATCTATCTCTCTCTATTGATCTATGAGTTTGTTTTAAATGACAACTGGCGCGATCAACTTTTTAATTGCAGTTACATCATTCTCATTTGTGCTTGCTGGATAATTTATTTATCTTTGTTTGTTTTATTTTGTGTTTTTCCTCGATTAATTAATGACTTAAGCTCTAATTCTATATAGACAGGTAAATCTAACAAAACAAAACAACTCAATTTGATCAAAATTATTGACTTTATGAGACCATATCGTTTACGAAACGAGAGTAAAGTGCAGTTGCTATTTAAACTTAATTTTTTCTGTACTTTTGCTCGGTTATTAGTTTTTTCAAAGATAGTTGATTTAATGGTAGAAAAAAAAGATTTTATCTTGTTTTTCAGATTAATGATTCAGATTATGACACAGTTAATGTTTTTCAGTTTGACATTTTCTTTCAAAAAATACTTAAACCTGTCGATATTATTGTTTATTTCTATAACAAGCGATATATATTAGTTATATTCACTCAATATCCTACACAAAAGACATAAAACAATAATCCTTATTTTGCGTTTTTTCATATCGTAATTGTACTTGAAAAGAAATATACCTGAAAAAGGATATTATATACTGTTACTTCTTATTTTCGAAAGAAAGAGCAATAATTTGCACATACTTGATTCAATGAAAACAGGATTTCTCCTTCAAATGACAGAAATAAATAACTTG